TTATAACAATAAAGTTGGAAAATGATATAGAGATAGAAATTGTCATTACTTTTAGAAAAATGTTTTAATAACACCACAATTACAATATTCTTTGAGGCAGATATCACTAAAAATGATAATCATAATAATTTGATAAAGACAAACCATCCACAGCAACAATTGAAATAATCTTCACTTGATCTGGCATGAGATTTTTGAAAAAAAGCCAAATTGCAAAACAAAATTTAACAAAAAAATAAAACCAAGATTCCCATTTATTCATAAAAGTACAAAATTAATAATAATTAAAATTAAATTTTTATTTATTTAATTTTAAAGAGGGACTGTCTTTTTTAAAAACACAAAAAATCACTTTAATCAAAAAGTTACAAGTTTAAAATTGGACTTTCTAAAAAGGTTTGGTTGTTACAAAAATTATCGTTGGTGTTAAACAGAATATCCGAATTGCACTGATTTGACAAAAAAAACTTTATGTTCAATAAAAAAACACATTCAAAACACTAGATAACTTGTAAAACCATCGACTATTTTACAAAATATTTCATAAAAAACAACAACAACAACAACAACAACAACAACAACAACAACAACAACAACAACAACAACAACAACAACAACAACAACAAAATATATTAATGTTGATAATGGATGCAAAAATATTAAATCAAATACCACACCCATTTTATAAATTACTGATAATTTCAAAATAAAATTATTTATCAAATATTTCCCTAAAAATGTCATACAAACTAAAATGTACGTTTTTGTTTATATGACATCGATGTTTATATATATATATATATATACCATCAGTGTTAAAATGTAATATGTTTATGGATAAAATTAAATGTATTGTTAACAAAGTTGACTTTTTAATGATCCTTATTAAGTGTAAAAGATGAGTATCAAAAAATAAATAAAATATTTATTATGAAATAATGTACACGAATGCAACTGAAAACCAATAGTGTGTTCCATTAATAGTCTTAAAGGAAGAAACAATGATTTGTGAAATAAATGTTAAAATAGTTTTTTCAATGTTAACAACACAAAACATAAAAAAGTATAAAATTGAACAATTTGCACAATAAATAATAGGTGTGATGAGAACTTTTTCTATAGACAAGTGCTTCAACACGTTCCCAAAAAATATAGTAATGGATGGAATGTTCAAAAATTGTCCGAATAATTTTTAACTTAAATAAATAAGGCATTAACTTAATTGAAATACGACCGTTGCGAAACATAAAGATTTGACAATAAATCGTTTGTTATTTAATATAAAGAATTGTTTAACAATTGCTTGTATAAATTATTTGTTATTGTTTGATAGAATTGTAAATAATTATTATTATTAATGTTAATATAATTATTAATAATTGTACAATTATTATTATAGTATTATTATTAAGATATATAACTATAAATAAAAATCAAACCCATAATTTATAAAAATAGCAATTTTATAATTTATATATTGATGAGGCAATTTAAAACCATAATCAGACCGTACGACTAAGATCATTCTTAGAGTATGTCACTTTCTATGTTACAAATAAAATTCACAAAATAGGATGAAGACTTTCATTACTTCAGTACCAAAGGGAGATACGCAGCAATGCACGATGAACTGCTTGTTGAGGGGTCGAGTGCGTGCACAAAACTCTGAAATGAGAGGCACTGAAGTCTGTCTGACTATTTTTTGTTTATTTTAATTGGTAGTATAATTTTTTGAAGAATTAAAGTTGATAAATAAAATGACAATACAAAACAATCAAATCAAACGACAATCAGATGAAAGCAAATTGTGAACGTATTTCAACATGTGTTGGGTTTTATTTTTTGGTTTCTTGTTCTTGAGATTTTGATAAGCCCACCGTTTTTGTTTCTTATCGTCTTGCTTGTTCAATGTGATGTATGTGACTGTTTTGACTGCCTTCTTATGTAAAGGCGATTTGTGTTTTGTTTCAACATATTCAAACATTTCCAAGTGAAACACCATGCTTGATGACAATTGGTTTGACATAAGATCTTTTTTGTATGCAACGTGACTTGTCAACACAATGCATTTGTCAAGACTCAATCTCAAACTTTGAGTCTTGACACTTTGATAAATACAAAAATACTATTGGAAAAAATTTTTTATATTTTAAAAAGTGTTGTGAAGAAATAAATTTCGTTAAAGCAGGAATAAATATAATATTATACCATCTTTAGTTTTTTCTCAAGAACTTCAGAATTGCTAAATTTCTTTTACAAGTTTTTGGTTGTCAAAAAAATGAATTAAAAAAAATATTTTCATCACAATCTGTTGTTAAAGTTGCATCTAATTTAAAGAATTTGAAGTTTGTTTGCTCATCATCAAGTGTGTCCAATTTTGGCGCACTTGCTTAAAATTCTGCACACTCAAAAGAGTCGAAGATGACAATAACTTTTAATTGTGTTTAATTGTTCCTTATACTAAACAACATTTGTTGAAAATATAACTGGCTTACAGACAGATGTTTTGATATTAAGAGTATTTATATGTATATATTTTTTGTTTAAATTCAATATTTAATGACTATTGTAATACTTTCAATGAAAACATATTCAAACTATGTTAACCCATGTTCAAATGTTGTGTTATATAGTAATCAACTTGTTTATTATTTTCAAAAAAGGTATCTAAAATCACAAAGCTGTGGGAAAAAGAAGATATTTGTTTAAACTTTTATTTTTTGAAATTAATAATCTTTGGAAATATTGTTTGATTTAATTTGTTATAAAAAAATGTTTTAATGTTTGTATAATACAATCAACTTACTTAACAGTTATACATATAAAATGTAAAAAATTCCAAAACACATTTTTAGTAAACAAGTTTTTAAATTATTTAAAAAAACTCTTATTTTAGTATTAATCTAAAGTTTACATTTCTTAAAAAATAAATTACCATACCTTTTATATTAATAAATTTAGTTGTTTGTGTTTGTCTTTAAAAAACATAAATCATCATACTGAAATGTTTTTATTTTAAGTTATCCAAATTATCGTCGGTATTGTACTTTTAAAAAATATAGCCGTGTTGCTTCGGCCAAAGACCTCTAGCCCGACGGGCAGATCAAAGGCATCAAGAGGACAGGGCCTTCTATACTTCAACGAGCATCAGTCTTATTCAAACGAGCTCAGCCAAATGAATCTTCTTGCATTTAATTCTGGTGACGAATTGAGTTGGTCACACTCGATCACTTGCTTATCAATAAACAACTTTTTATTAATTATTATATGATTTATTTTTTAAAAAAATTATGGGGTTCTTATTAATAATTAAAAATATTATAAAAAGTTATTAAAATATATAAAATTTTTTAAAAAATAAATTAATATATATTTTTAACTATATAAACCTCAAATTAAAAAAAGTTTTTTAAACTATGAACCAAATTAAATCAAACTCATTATCACTTTATATTTTTAAAATTAATTTTGAATTATATTGGGGCGGTCAATTTATGTTTGCATTACTATGTCTTTAAGTAAATGACTTTATTGTTCATCAAATAAACAATATTTTATTGTCCAAGTTTTATTGCTTTGATAATTTATGACATCTTTCTTCTAAATTAATTGCTTTCGTTTTATTAAAGATATTAACCAAACGCTTATTATTTGCATTTGTGCTTATGTTGTTTTTATTTTGTCAATAAACATTTTAACATTAAAAAGTGTTGTTTTTTGAAAATTAAAAAACAATCACATCTGCATCAAAGTTTTTAATATTGTTAATAAAAATACCAATGTATATAAATGTTAAACAAATATAACTGTAATGAATATTATCAATTTATGTATTTTCTAAAATACTTATCAATTATATTGTTTTTATTATCTAAAATACATCAGTATTTGTCAAAGTTAATTTATTATTTATCTACGGTGTATTTTTTTTATTTATCAGTATTTTGAAACATAAACTTGTGCCTAATTACTAAAATTTGTCATCCACATATTACAACTGTTTTGTATCACACACGCCCACTAATTAACATAATTTTATAATATTAGAGTTATTTTGGGTTTTAATTTCTCAATTATTTAGTTGATAAAAATAAAAAACATTTATTTCAATTAAATAGTTTTTTATTTGTATTGATTTGTGTTCAATAATTAACTAAAATAGTATTGTTTTGGATTTAAAAACATTCATTCAAACATAAAACTGAAAAACTCTAAAATATTTAAAATATAAAAACAATTTTATAATCAAAAAATATTAATATATGAACCATTTAGATGGCTTTCACATTATGATAGTTTCGAAATACTTTTCTTCTTTCCAAGACTTCATATCTCTTGAATTAGTATGTAAGAAATACGCTTCAACTATGTCTAAGTTTCATTACAACCCAATTCCTCTTACCCGAAGTAAACTGATTTTTTTCGAAAATTTAGAGACTTTAATTCTATGGCCACAAAACAATTTTTTGGCTTTTAAACACTTGACATCATACTTTTACAGGGAGTTTTACCGGATTATTGTCTACGAAGAAGTTGACTACAAAACTGCTATAAACATGCTCGACATGTATTCCGAAAACAAATTCCAATCAATTAAAGACACTTGTGTTCGAATGCACTCTATTATTTTCAAAAATGTTGTGTACACACAAAAAGACAAAATTGCTTTCAACAGTCATTTGTCTGATTTGGTCACCAAAATCGATGAAAAGTGCTTTTTTAATGAACAAGAAATGAAATCCATAAATATACAAACTACAGCCACGTGTATTAATAACGAATCTTTCTTACTATGTACTTCTCTCACATCTTTTATATTTCCATTGTCACTGAGACGAATATGTGATAAATCATTTGTTGAATGTCGATCGTTAGTCGAGGTGGTCTTCCCAAGTCGACTCACCTCTATTGGGTCACTGTGTTTTTATGTGTGTTATTCTCTCACCTCGGTGAAGTTCCCTAGACATTTAAAACCTTCTATCAAAAATTAATTGGAGCTTTCCAAGACTGTCAAAACTTAAGTTGTATAAAATTGCCAAGTCGTCTCTCTGAAATTAGTTATATAGCTTTTTCAGGCTGTCAAGAATTATTAGACCTTAATATTCCCAAGAGTGTCGAGTCACTCAAAAGTATGTGTTTTTTTCAATTGTAAATCTCTTTCAAAATAGTGTTAGAATTTGGTCTGAAGAGTATTGGAGAAATTTGTTTCAATGGGTGTATCTCATTGAATACAATAGAAATTCCAGACTCTGTGACTGAAATTGGTTGGCAGGCCTTTGCCGAGTGTACACAACTCCAAAAAGTTGTGATGTCAAAGTCACTCACCACGTTAAATAGAGAAACTTTCAAAAATTGTTTTTCCCTAACTGAATTTGAGTTTGCGTATGGGACTAAGTCGATAAAAGTATTCAACCGTCGTGCTTCATTGGTTGCGGGGTTTTAAATGTATTGATATAACCGAGGGTGTATTGATATTTCAGATGATAGTTTTCTACGATGTATGTCTCTCTCTGAAATTAC